GGCAAAATTTAAGTCCGGAATCACTTAAATATCTTACTATGATGTATTTTAATAATCAAAATAGTAATAAATAAAACGATTTTTTTATCGGAATAAAATCGGAATTTTTGCTGTTATCGTGATAAAAATTTACGATTTTATATCGGAATTTTTCCGGGTCTCTGGCTCACGCGGACTTTTTATAATCAGCAATTCCGAATAAGCATTTTCTTTTTCCACTGAGGCATGTCAAAAAATAACGAAATTTACGAGAAACCAGGTTTCTCCTATTTCATCACAACGCCCTGTGAAGCTTGGGATGCGCTTGAGTATCATGAAGAATGGCGTGCGTCTAAACTTCCAATGAACAAGGCGAAGATTACAACGTCACTTTACAAGCAACTTGACTGGTTCGAAAATGAGGGATCGGAAGAAGAAAAGAAATCAGCAAAAAGGATGTTGCAACAATTTAAGGTAAGGTCATGCTTTTGCAAGTTACGTGGCGGTTGTGACAGGGAGCATGGGGGACTACGGTTCCTGCCCATGTATGGACTACGGTTCCACCCTGTTACAACTGGGATTGAGGAAAACCACTAGACTACGGTTCTTGAGTGGCGATGGACTACGGTTCCTCCAATATCCTTTCATGAACTTACAGAAATGTGACTACCTCTATTTGTGGTTTCGTTTATTGTTAATTAAAGAATCTATTAAAAATTTTTTATGGCTAAAAATCGATTCCTATACAGAATGGTTTAGGTACTGATGGATGCATTTATGAGTTTTGGACTAACGCGATGGCTGAGAGACATGCAAACTTAGAAGAGGCGAAGGTTACTACAAAAGTTCGTGGATTACAGGTAATGGAAAGTGTTTCCCTTCAACCTTCATTTATAAATTTCTGGCCTTTTAAATTCTGGTCCCTTCTTTGTTTCCTATGAATAGTCAGAGCAACGTTTAACATTCGCTACTGTCGCAACAAAACAAATGAAACATTACGCACTATCAACAACTCGCGACGATCATGTAAAGCAGGAAATCATCAACTCTTTAGTGGACCATAAATATGAAATTGATGACGACTTTCACAGTGCAAGGACCTCAGGGAATAAACGAAAAGATGTTACGGATGGGGATGATACAAGCTCATTGTCTCTCACGAAAAAGGTAATGGCTCAAATTTCGCCTCCTATCTATAGCATATTCCACAAATGAATGGACATCTATTATGTAGGTTGCGGTCGAAACAAATGTTGTAAAGAAAAACAAGATCAATGAACTTTTTGATAACATTAGAAATCGAAATATATATGTTTTATGCGAGCCGTTCAGACCATTATCAGAAACGGACGCGGAGGACCGGTTCGAGATGATAGCCAAAAACACTACTGTTGAGATTGATCTCCCTGAAGATATCAAGGAATATCTTCATTGTTTGCTCAGCGGAGATATTAAAAATGCATTGTCGAAAATAGAGAAACCACTTAACGAGGGCGCACGGCCATTGATGTTATGGACGAGAGAAGTCTGTCGACACTTTCTATTTTACTACTACTATGGTGGTTTGCAAACAGACAGCGACGAAAAAACTTGGTCCAACCAAACGGTCTATCGAATTTTGGATCTATTTTCGATGTTTTTTTGGAAATTTGACATCAGGAATTGCCCTGTAAGCCTTTAATCTTGTACCTTTTCTTTTATGATAGACTGACATTATTTTTGATTTAGTGGAGAAATCGTAAATGAGGCACACAAAGATAGAGTTTATAACATAAATGCTGATCAAAAACCATCAAATTCAAGGAGAGGCGACAAGAACGATGCTGTCTTGTATCAGGACAATAACGCTACAATTATATATGAACAGTCCTTTGGACCCACAGAATTTGACACAACACATCATATGGGAGATATAACGAAACTAGCACGTAACGGAGTGGATGATTTAAATTATCACTTCAAACAATATGAAAAATCTTCCATAACAACAGCGAAAAAATTCAAATCCGTCGGCATCCATGGTTATAGTAGGTGTTTTCCTTTTTTTGTATGAATGGGTTATTTTGTGGTAAGACTTACCTAACTTCTATGCTTTTAGAATATTTCGTAGCAATTTACCTCACGGACCTTATTTGTATGAAAACGTATAGGATATATGAAATATTTAAGTGTAAAATCCCAACGTCATATACGGACCGATGGTTTCTAGCTAAAATTGCAAGGATAGGCGTTTATTTGGAGGTATTTCTTTACAAGGCATACAAATGCATTTCATTACTATTACTTATTTACTTTTATAGATACACCTTACAGAACGACAGTTTTTGAAAGGGCAAATGGGCATGGAAGACGCAATCAACGATAATGGTCCTAATTGTGTATGCAATTGGATGGCAATACCGGATAACACTCCAGAAGCAAAAAGAACAAAATGAAATTAGATGTGATTTGTTATATTTTCGCAAAAAGGAATTTTTATTTCATTTTGTAAATATGCGTACTGTATTTGTATGTTAGCTGATTGAACCCAATAAAAAATAATAGTTTTCGTTAGCTTTGATTTATGCATATGAAAACATGAGAAATTCCTTTCAGCGACAAATCAATCATCAGATATCTATTTTTGTTGTATTGATAAAGAATTCGGGCTGAAAAGGATAATTAAAATAATTTACCAAGTGTTGGATGTGTATCAGAAAACAAATGTATATGCGGTCATGAACATAAAAATCCTCTTAGTACAAATAACACGTAAAGTTTTTTTTCGCAGTAAATAAGCAGATAATTAATAAACTCTGTTCTACTCATCCAATTTCAGGGGTATATCCCAACCTAATCTAATTGCGAGAGGGTCGTCAGTTGCCTTAGTAAAATCGAAGACCACAAAATTCCGATCTCGCAGATGCTTGTCAATAATCTTAGATGCCTTTTTTGGATCATCCGTATACTGACGCACAATTCTGCATATATCTTCACGAGATCCACTGCCTCGGAATATGACTAGATGTGAAACATTTTCACGAATTATCTTTGGCACGGCTTGATATTTCTGAGTCACGTATATCGGTGAGACATTTTGATGCCGTCCGCTAATAAAATAAGGAATAATTCGATCTTGAGTCTTTTTTGATTCAGCACAAAGATCTTCGAATACAACAACTGTACTTTGACCTGGAGAGAATTTAGTTATATCGGGAACCTTATCGGGTGTTATTCTTTTAAATGTGACATTCTCTTGATATGATTTTGGGCAATTCGCAAAAATCTGAAAACTAGTTTGTACTAATTGCCACTTCGGCTCAGTATGCTTTCCTACCATTATAAGGTTATCATTCTTAATATACCGCTCCCCTTTTTTTCCTTTAAACATGCGCTGGAGTTTATTACCAAGCATAAGATTTACAACCATATTCGTTTTTCCGCTATGAGAACCTCCATAGACTAAAAGGCGAAAAGGCCAATCTGGTGCAAATCTGTTAGATTTCATATGTTTTAAAGATTCTTTGGGTATCTCATCAATGGCGTATACGTATATAGGCATACTCTTCTCTTTCATTCTAATTAAATTAAGTAACACTAAATTATTATATCGAAAAAATAAGGATTTTTTAATGAAATACAAGCATTTAAAGTTTTGTCTTTATTCTATAAGGCCCAGTTCCCGAAGATGTTCTGGAATAACTATGTGTGGGTCTTCGTAATACCAGATGTATTTTAGGTCGATGCAATTTTCTTTGCATAAAATTTTCTTGAGTTGATCCCGCTCTTGCTGTCTGATGAAATTACTCGGGTTTCCTCTATGAAAGAATTCTATATATTTATCATGCTGTTCTCCTTGTACTTTGATTGCAAACCCATAGTGATAATAAGGAATGTCAAGTTGTAGCCCCATCGAATGCTCTGGTGTTTTTAAGAAATCAGGCTTATGATTTTCTGATGGAGGGCCCAAATATTTTATTAGGATTTGACGACATAGATTTTCACGTTTATACTTACTACAATACGGACACCATGAGCATTTATTCACAATATTATCAAAGTTTGCATACCACTTATGTTGATTTTTACAGATCCATAATAAAGGAGATCTATTATTTTTGTATTCTGTTGAAAGACACTTACCACCTCGAGTGAGAGTAACTTGTTTAGCATCATCAAGAGTACGTTTGGCCATACTTGCACAGTATGGACATCATGTATCAGAATGTTTTATACTACTAAGTGAGGACCACCATTGATGATTATATTGGCAAGCCCATAGAAGTGGTGTGCTTATATTCTTGTATTCCATTGAAAGACATTGGCCCTGTCTCGATAATGCAATTTGTTTGGCAATTTCAATATTAAGTTTTGCAGTACCAGCACAGTATCGATACTAGCTACCTCTCAGAATAATTAGTGGAGAAGCTTCCCATGTATGAAAATTCTTGCAATGCCATAAAAGCTTTGTGTGTGTATCATAATACTGATCTGAAAGGCATTTTCCATTATTTTTTTGTATTAGAATTTTCATATCAAATATAGTCCGATTTCGTCCACCACAAGTAGGACACTACTGGTTGCAATCTTTTATTTTATTTAAATTTGCAGTCTATATATGCCTTTTAACACACTTCCACTGTAAAGGACTTTTATTATCCAAATACTCTAAAGAAAGACATTCTCCATTTCTAGTACGAACTAATACTTTTGCAACTTCAATATTATTATAATTGCATCTGTGACACCAATGCCCATAGTCTTTAACTTGAAAAAGAGGTGAATACTATTGATGATGATTTTTGCATGTCCATAGCAAAGGAGTATGATTATTAATGTAATTCTTTGAAAGACATTTTCCACCTTGACTCAAAGCTAACTCTTTGACAACTGAAATGTTTAATCAGGTATCTTTGCAAATTGGACACCAAGTTTTATTATTTTTTATACTATTAAGACTAGTGATCCAAGTATACTCTTTTTTGCAGATCCAATCCATTGGAACTGTGCAATTAACATATTCTTTGGAAAGGCAATTCTCTCCCTGTTCTTTTGCAATCTGCTTTGCAATTTCTAAAGATAATTTGGCAGGTATATTTATTTTTAATATGATTCCATTTTGATATCAATTAATGTAAAAAGTCACTAAGGTATATATATTTCGACTCCTTAAGATTGTGGCTAATTAATAGCAAATCATCATTCTTAATATAATGCGTCCCTCTTTCCTTCCCATTAAACATTTGATAAAGCTTATTTCCAAGCATGAGATTGAGAACCTCATTAGTCTTCTCTGAATTAATACGACCAGAAATTAGTAAAGTGAAAGTCTATTGGGAGACACTTGAATGTTCATTATATTTTTAGCATCCTTAATCTCATTAATATGATATACAAGCCTATCAACTAGTTCAAGCTTTTTTATTTTCATGTTGAACTATTATTAATGATATTCTAAAATAATCTTGCAAATTTGCAGGACCGCGCGGTCTTGAAAAAATGTTAAGAAGATAATTCTCTCTAATCTAACTTGAAGAATTTCTCAAAAATCCTTTTTCAATAAGTGTATGCTTAATATAGGGAAAAAGATCACATGTGTATAGCACTTTAATAAGACATATATCTTGGTTCTTGCATATATCCCACTTCTTCTGATCGCGCATATTTTGTGATTTTAGATTTTCATTTTCCCGGTGATAGAAGCTATTGTGGTGATAGTGTTAAGGACTTTAGAATTCGAATGCAAGATGCAATTTCTCATTATATCTATTCAAGTATAGCCCATCTAAGAACTTAGCCCTACATGGCGGGATTTCTTACCTAGCAGATCCTCAAAAATATATCAGCATTGACGTTCACCACTTCTATGATAACATAGCAGACACCATTCAAATTTTTTCATGATATATTTTAGTGAATACTTCCACTGATGTGCACCATTCTCACAAGATCAAAGATATATGTTATGACTATTTATTTGTCCAATCCTTTCTAGATATTGATCACTACGTCTTCTGACATAATCAATAGCTTGATCTAGCTCATTATTGATAGAAAAAGTATATGTAATATGTACAGATAATATGCTTTGAAGTGGACGACCAACCCTTTCTGGATCAGTTATTAACATGAGCTCCTCTCTTACAAATCCTCGCTTTAGAGCAAATTCATCATCATCATTCCCAAGATAATATAAAACTGGCTCATTCTTTATAACAATAACTTTTCAGATTTTATAAAGACTTAGGCTGAATGTAGGGTCAGTTACACACTTCTGATTTTTTATACTCCTTCCTATTTTGCATTGGCAAGTAGGTAGCAGACGGTATCTCCTTTCTTTAACCTTATTTCATCTTGTCTAACTGGACGTTTATATTTTGTAGATGATCTAGATTTGACTCACTCTAAAGCAATTGCTTTCACAGATTCAAGTCCCCATTTTTCTGATTCTGATTCTCGAATAAGACGTGTAAGATAGTTATTTAAATAATTAATAATTACTGGAAGAAATCTAACCCATGCTCTTATTAGATTAGGATTAGAAGATATTGATTCAATAGCATACTAGATCTTGTATAAAATCTTCAAGAGTGTTTGATTGAAATGCTTCACAAATGCAAGACCTTAATGGGAATATGGACTGACTACTCAAATTGTGACATTATACTCTTGCATTAGTCGAGAAGTTTCACTTATCTATTTTCACTCATTATCTGTTTGAAGTAATTTAAAATAGGTAAGAGAATTATTAGGGTCATCATAAGTTTTTCTGAACACTCTAGCAACTTCTGAACTATTCTTAGATGTAAGCGGAACTGAAGCCTTGTATCTGGAGGCACAGTTTATAATGTTAAGTACTACTTTATATTTTTTACCTCTATAGTAATTATAAGTGAGAAACAGTATATCGCATTGGTATACACAATTAGGGCGTGTTATTCGCCTATAGCTGGCTCTAGGAATATATTTTAGAAAAGTTTTATTGATTTAATATGATTCCTGATTTTCTAAAAAAGTTTTGCATTCACTTAAGCGAATTGATGCCCTTCTTTTTTATATGCGTTTCTTAAGGATTTGGGATTAGAATAATATTTAGTCAGGCGATAATATATATCATGCAATATAATATTTTTTTTAATTCTCTGAGTCTCATCAGGATCTATCACAATTTGCGGTTGGCTTATTTTTAAGGCAGGATTATTATGATAGTATTATAAATTAAGATGAAATACCATGTTTAATCCAACATATTCACAGCTTTTAGATACAAATTAGGAGCTTTGTAATGAGCTTCGAAATGAGATTTCTATTAATAAGAATTACGAAAAAAAATTCAATTCCTTGTAAAGGAGCTTGAGCAATGTTATCAAACTATTTCATTACAGGATAATACTATCATATTCCATGAGAAAGTGATAGAGAAATTTAAATCAGAAATATCTGATTTGCGAAAACA